AGATAAGGGCCCTGCCTTTAGGCAGTTGGAGATGGTGTTGTGGAGACAAGATACCCCAAACAACTCCAAGGCAACATAATCGCTGAATCCTGGTTCAAATTATAAAAAAGCAAGCTGCACGCAACATTTTTCTTTTGCTTCTAAAGGCGTTGTGACGTAAAAAATCCATAGTGATACTGAAGTTTTAGATCAGTGGTTTTTTTGTTTTGTTTTGTTTTTGGCATCTGGAGATGTGGGAAAGTTTCTAAAAGAAACTGTTTTAAGTTGCTGTCATACTGCCACGGCGCTCTATAGTAACAAAGGTACCTCCTGGGAGGAAATAAACCAAGAGTCGTTGGAACAGCGGGAGAAAAGGTCCAGAAGAAGAGCTACAATTAATCGGAAACTTTGTGTTTTGATTTATTGATTGTGTTTGCAATCTGCTTTTCGCTCAGTTATAAGAGGAACCACGAGGGGGCAATGTCTTCCTGAGCATGGCCAAGTGGTGGGCTTCGGTGGATGGACGGGCCAGTAGAACTAGCCCTTTGCCCTCCTTGGCTATTCTTGCCTGTTACTGACTGAATACACTCCACAGAGAGACATTGTTTGGCTGGAGCTTGGCAAGGACCCAAGAAAAAAATGACAGAATGACAAGCTGGTCTTTAATGGTTCCAGTCGGGAAGGTAGTTGTGTGGTTGGGGGGGGTGGTGGCTGGGGGGGATCTCCCATCCATCCTGGGCCAAAAAAAAAAAAAAAAAAAAGTGGGTTAATTCCAGATACAGACGTAGAACCTGCTTTTTTTTTTTTTTTTTTTTTTTTTTTTTTTTTTTTTTTTTTTTTTTTTTTTGTCTTGAAGCCAAGCCAGAACTTTTGCTAAAAAGTTAGCAACTCTGGTATAAGAAAGAAAAATTAGTCCTGTGAGAAGAACCTTGTCTGGCATCTTCATTGTGTGTTCCCAACATTTAGACAGTGCCTAACACGTAATACACCTCAGTTATTTGTAATGAATAAACAGACAGGGCAGTGGTGGCAGCATGTAGTGACGATTGCCTTTAATCTCTGCCTGCTGGTCTACAGAGTAAGTCCTGAAGGTGTGTAAGCGTGGTCATCACGGTCATCAGACAGTCATTATTAATTTTTGATTTTTGGAGGCTGTGGCCTGGACAGAGACATTGCCCACAAGAGGACTGAAGAGAGAGTTTTAAAGAAATGAAAGGTAAAAATCACACCATCGTATTGACACAGCAGGCAATAAAGCTGTCAGAGAGAGAGAGAGAGCCCAGTATAAGGTACGAGGATGAGAGGATATGCCTGGAAGGAAGGAATTTCATTTTCTATCCTTTCAACAAGGAATGGTATGTACTTATTTGGAAGAAAAATCGAGTAACATATTAACAACAAAACCCAAGGAAAATCTGTAAACATATGTCCACTATTTATAAACGTCAAGGCTGTAGAGAAAGAGAAGGGGGGTATATATATACAGCCAGGCTTTAAGTGGTCTTTATGACTTATTTACTATTTCAAAGACGAAGTTTCAAGAGAGCTCCTTGGTAGCCGATAGTTGCCAGGCATGCTAAGAATTATAAGACAACAAAGGGAGTTTATATCCCGGAAAAATTGGGCCTGGTCTACAAGAGCTAGTTCCAGGACAGCCTCCAAAGCCACAGAGAAACCCTGTCTCGAAAAACCAAAAAAAGAAAAGAAACATAAGCTAAAAATTGTGGGGGTTAAAATAAAACATTTGCAGGGCAGTAGTTGTGCAAGCCTTTAATCCCAGTACTCACGAGGCAGAGGCAGGCAGATCTAAGTGAATCTGAGGCCAGCCTGGTCTACAGAGTGAGTTCCAGGACAGTCAGAACTACACAGAGAAACCCTGTTGTGAAACAAAACAAATTAATTAAATAAAACATCCTCACTCTTAGCTTCTTCAGACGACAAGACTCTCAGAATGAAAAGTTGCCTAGTAACAAAGGTCCAATTAGATGCTACCAGGAGGCCAGGAGGTGGTGGGGCACATCTTTAGTCCCAGCACTCAGGAGGCAGAGGCAGGTGGATATCTGGAGTTCGAGACCAACTGGTCTACAAGAGCCAATTCCAGGACAGCCTCCAAAGCCACAGAGAAACCCTGTCCAAAAAACAACTTCAACAACAAAAATCAGATGCTACCAGGAAATCAACCCTGGCCATGGGTAAATTTGGGGACAAGGATGTTGGAGGACACTCTGGTAGGCAGCCTCCACAGAAGTCCATAGTCACCTTTTGGTACTTACACCCTGTGCAATCCCCTCCCCTTTAGTGTCAGCTGGGCTGACTAGTCTAGTATATACAGCATGACACAGTGTGTGTTCCATGCCCTTCGTTGCTCTCTCACTTGCGGCCTTTGACGATAGCCAGCTGTCGTGAGATAAATGCCTAAGGAACTGTGGAGGCCTCCACTAACCAGGGAGGGAGGAGCTTCCTTTTATTTCAGCATCCTTCATCATTCCCAGCACGAGTCCTGCCGGCAACTGTGTAAAGATGGAAGTTGGTTTTCCATGAGTCTATCTGTGAAACTTGTTATGGACAAGAGGCCTGTGTCCTCCCCTGAAATTCATATTATAAAACTCTAACCTCCAAGATTAGAAGTATTGGAAGTAAGCCCTTGAGAAGGAATTAGATTTAGATGAGGTTGGAAAGTGTCTGCTCCATAATGGAGTTAGTGCCCTCATAAGAGAAAAAGTTGTCTGCCGGGTGGTGGTGGCTCACGCCTTTAATCCCAGCACCCAGGAGGCAGAGGCAGGCAGATAAGTTCAAGACCAGCCTGGTCTACAAGCGCTAGTTCCAGGACAGCCTCCAAAGCCACAGGGAAACCCTGTCTCGAAAAACCAAAAAAAAAAAAAGTTGTCCAAATCTCTCTCTTTGTCTTATCTATTTTTGTCTCATAGAGGGAAATGTGACCATCTACAGCTATGAAGAAGGTCCTACCAGGAACAAAATTACCTTGCACCTTGACTTGGCTTTGCCGGCCACCAGGTGTGTGAGAAATGAATGTTGTCGAAGCCACCCTTTATGCACTACTTTCTTATCACAATCTGCATTAAGACAGGGTGATAAAAGCAATAAGTTGATACCATAGTTAATAGCTAAAAGTATAGAAATAGCTCGGGACTAATGGATGGAGACTTGACTATATATATAATTAAAAAGTTCAAGATTTCTGTGAAAGTGTTATCAAAGGTGACTCTGATGGTGGCAGAGAAAGAACAGAGCTCTATTAAAGCTCTGTCAGTCATCTTAGAGAACATAGAAGAAAATATTAACGGAATGTTGAGATAAACCGACAGTAAAGATCATTCTAACGAGTCTCCGAGGGAGAAGCCGGTTTGTGCAAATGCAGTGTTTAAGAACTTGACTGAACTGTGCCTTGAAATGTGCTGTGGAAGCGAGGACTTTCAAGAATGAAATTGGATATTTAGCCTCAGAGATTTCTAATCAAAGCCTTGAGGAAAGAGTACTTTGTGAGGCTGGCGAGATGGCTCAGTAGGTGAAATGCATGCTGGGTAAACTGGAGGGCTTTAGTTTGATTCTGAGCAAGGAGGCGGGGCTAGGTGTGAACACACCCATCTGTGACCACGGCACTGGCAGATGCAGAAAGGCAGTGACTGGCAGATCCTCAGAGCTTACAGGCTCACAGATTTCAACCACTGGTGAGCTCCAGGTTTAGTGGGGAGACCCAGTCTCCAAAAACAAACAACGACAACAAAGACAAGCCTAGGGTGACACACACCTTTAGTTCTAGCAGGTAGTGGCATGTGACGGGCCCAGCTCCCCGTTTTGGCAGCCATAACAGTCTAACACCAGTCTAACACGTGCTTGCCTTACCTTGCCTTGGTCCCTAGGAGGTCAGATGCCTGCTTCATGACAAGGAACCAATCCGAAGTTAGCTGGTGGTGCTATGCTTTATGGCTCTGGGTGTGCTTTACCACAAGTGCACAGCAATGACTGCAGAGCATAGCAACCACCCTGGGAGGGCCTATGGGCCATAACAACCAATTGACCAATCAACACAGGGCAAGTCCACCAAGCCTGGAGGCACACCAATCCTGAGCCTTTGTGTTCCCCTAGACATTCCCCTTAGGCTATCCTATAAGATCTCTGTCCCGTGGTTTCTCCATGTCTTTTCTCCAGCCATCCACCTTGGTAGATGGACAAAACGCCCAAGCTAATGGAGTTAGCTCATTAAACAACTGCAATAAAGCCTCTTGCTGTTTGCATCAAGTCCTCGCCTCCACCTGGTGATTGGGGTCACTGTATTCCTGAGTGGTCACCCTGTGGGGGATCTTTCACATGTAGGTGACAGACTTTAATTCTAGCAGGTAGGCCAGCTTTGTCTGATTGATGAATTCAGGCTTCTGGGGCTGTATAGTGAGATCATGTCTCAAACAAAGGAACACAAATGAAAAATAAAGTAAAACATAAAAATAAAATAAATGATACATAAAATAAAGAAGATCCAGAAGGCAAGACAGACACCCCTTGCCAAAGGCAATTCACAGGTCACCCGGAGCTGCTTCTTGTACATTAGCTCTGAGGAATGAAACAGTCTATGTTGGAGAG